TGTTATAATATGAATTATTTGCAAATAATTCATATTAATTTTTTTTTTTTTTTAGTAAATTTGGTTTTAGTAATCTAGTAAATCTAGTAAAAAATAAAAAAATAAATATTAAATCTAATGAATAACTTGTTTGTGTGTGCAAGTGCAGGATCTCTGCCAGGATACTCCACAGCTCAGATCTGCACTCCTAAATCAGCTTAAATACCCACCATGGGAACTCTAAATAGACAGTGAAAACAGCCTGCTATTTAAACAATCAAGTTAAGTTGAACATACTACATTTAATTTGTTTAAATTCAGCTCATACAGTATCAATTGTTTGCAACCACTTACCTTAATAAAATGTTGTAAATCCAATGAATCATTTTGTTCAGTGTACACTGTAAATTAGTTGAAAAAGTGAGTAAACCTATCGCCTTTAAGTTATAATAATAATAATAATAATAATAATAATAATAATAATTATTATTATTATTATTATAATTATAATAACAATAATAATAATAATTATTATTATTATTATTATATTAATAATAATAATAATAATAATAATAATAATAATAATTATTATTATTATTATTATTATTATTATTATTATTATTATTATTATTAAATTAAACGAGCTATGTGCATAATAACAAAAATTAAGTTAAGTGAACTTAACACTTCTAAGTTACAACAGAAATGCTTAAATATTACTTTATGATAACTAAACTTCAAATAAAACTAAATTTACTACACAAAATATACATAAATGATATAAGGCCATTGAGTTTAAGATAAATATAAAACGCAATCTATTTAAACTTGATATAATTGTGTGGGACCAACTCCATTTTATTTAGCTATGTAAATCGTTTTTTTAGTTAATGCTAAACAAATTTATTGAGTTAAAAACCTGCCCTCAACTAAATTGAGTTCATACAATGACTCATTTGACTGCAGTAAAAAATAATACTATATTTTAAAATACACACAAAGTGACCATAAATATGTATTTTAAATATATTTCTGTAAATATCTTTCCTACTAATGCAATTAATAAAGTAATGATTTACAATTTATATAATTTGCTCACTCACTGAAAAAAAATATTCATTGGATTTACAAAATTTTTTAAGGTAAGTGACTGCAAAAAATTATAAGAGCTGAATTTAAACAAACCAATTACATTTAGTAACGTTCAACTTAATTTGATTGTTATAATATTAATTATTTGCAAGCATTTACCTTAAAACATTTAGTAAATTTAATGAATCTTTTTTTGTATGTGCAAATGCAGGATCTCTGCCAGTTTCACTCCACAGTTTCAGATCTGCACTCCCAAATCAGCTTAAATACACACCATGGGAATCCTAAATAGACAGTGAAAATGGCCTGCTATTTGAACAATCAAGTTAAGTTGAACATACGACATGTAATTTGTTCAAATTCAGCTCATATCAATTGTTTGCAACCACTTACCCTAAAAACTGTGGTAAATCCAATGAATCATTTCATTTAGAGCATGCTGTGAAAACCATTCGTTGACAAAGTGAGTAAACCCATCGCCTTTAAATTATAAGGTAAATAGGCTGTGCATAATAACAAAAATTAAGTTAATTAAACCTAACACTTCTAAATTACAACAGAAATGCTTAAATATGTAAAAAAAAAAAAAAAAAAAAGTGTCATTTTTAAGGCAATGAGTTTACTCACTTTGAGTAATCTGCCGTTATAACCGTGTTATAACTATAAATGTGCTTAAAATGGCTCTTTTAGTTAGTTTAGGATAACTAAACATCAAATTAAACTAAATTGAATTGTAAATACTTTTATATAAATATTTTTATTTCTTATTTGTACAATTAAAAAGTCAATAATGCACATAAACCATCTAGATGTACAGTATATATACTCACTGGCCACTTTATTAGGTACACCTTACTTGTACCGGGTTGGACCGTTTTGGCTTCAGAACTGCTTTAATCCTTGGTGACGGAGATTCAACAAGCTACTGGAAATATTCCTTAGAGATTTTGCTCCATATTGACATGATAGCTTCATGCAGTTGCTGCAGATTTGTCGGCTGCACATCCATGATGCCAATCTGTGTGCTTGCGAATAAAGCTCATTCTGATTCTGTTCATTTTAAACAATCAGCTGCAGAACTGAAGAGCTTCTTGTGACGCAAAAGTACACAAATAATGAGAAACAAAACGTTTAAAATTAGGAAACAGTGTATTAAGCTCAGCGCTCTGCTAAAACAACAGGAACACTATAATTGTGCATTGATTTTAAGATTCAGTATCAGCTTCGAAACATCCTCAGTTCAGTCAAAGGCCCAGCTGGTTGCTGGAGAAGAGCTTCTGCATTACTGCACCCCAGCGGCTGCTCTTTCTGCCCGCTCCAACCAGAAGGACATTTCAGACTCCTGCTCCACACACACCACCCCAATCTCTCTCACACACACGCACACACAGATTGACTCTAGATCCAACAGAACATTTGGTCTTCAACTGCTGCTTAATCAAATTCCTCCATCTGGCCGCAGTTTTGCAGCAGAATCGGGTATAAGGTGCCTCCAACTGCGCCCACAGAATGCAGATATAAACACACTGGGTTTTGTTTAGATACATACAGGGCATAGAACATGGCTCATTATTGAGACGTACCCCTGTATACATTTCTGTAGAGCATGAAATCAGTCCCAGGAGCTATGTTTTTTTTGCATTTTTTGTTTTCATGAATCCACTAGAGGCCGCTGTGTACGCTTTTTTTCTCTCGCAAGTGCCATTCGCACCTGCTGTTCCTGCATTGATCCACCATAGGCCACTGTTGACTGACTGACTAAACGACTGACCAACCAACCAACCAACCAACCAAACTAAATCCCCTCCATCCCCCCCTCTCTAAACCCAACCGATAGTGTTTTCAAAAGTAATCCAGAAAAAGAAAAGCCCTCACCTGGTTTTTACCACTTTTTTAGATCTTACCACGTTCTCACCCTGTTATTTACTTGTTTGTTTTATTTTTTTGCCTTTTGTTTTGGTTTCACCTGCTTTCTGCAACCGTTCTTCACCAGAATCGAACCGCATTGTTGCAGTCAACTCCGCTTTGTGTCTCAAGTCCACCAATATACGCAGTTAGCTAGGCAAACAGATGAAAGCAGAAAAGCCCTCCACATGGGGGTAAACGGTGAGCTGGTAGCATGAAAAGAAACAGAAGCAGTCGGCGGCGTCATACCTCCCTAAAGCGTTTGTTTTATTTTTTTTTTTTACTTCGTTTTTTTCGATTTTTTAGGAACATATAACCAGTGGGAACAAAACAAACAAATAAAAAATAATATACA